CGCCTCGGCTAAAATCTTTCCGTTTTTCAGTTGTATTTTATTTTTTTTTTTCAGTTCAATTGTAATTTTCTATTTTTAGATTATTTGTAAGAACTGAAAATTACATATCAGTTCGTAGGATTCCCGTGTAATTTTGACACCAAATTTCCAACAGATACTAGGGATAGAAAGAGAATACTCTTAGCAAAGGGGGGACGAACATGTTGATCTGGATAGAAAGAGAATACTCAATTGTATAACTGTGCGAAGACATTGTGCGATAAATATGAACAGTTATGCAATTGAATGCGACAGTTATGCGATAGTTTTTCGCAAAACTTTTGCATACGAATAATTATGCGATGAATATGCAACAGTTTTCGCATAACTTTCGCACTTTCTGGAATGAAAAACTTAGCTTTTATTGGGCGGTGTGAAAAACTTAATTTGTCTTTACTATGAGCTGAAAAAGATTTTTTCCCTAATAATAACTAGTATAACGTCCGTGTATCATACGGGTGCTTGCTAATTTTTTTCTTAAAATCTAAAATTAATGAGAAAAAAAGTAGGTGAAATTTACATATTTTTATAAACATATATATATATATATATATATATTATATTTAGTATGACACTTTTTATTTGTGTGACTTATTTGTGTTATATTATAAAAATTTATAACTTACAACATATAACTAAATTAAACATAAATATATCAACTGAGAAATAATTTTATTTTTCTAATAAATTTTAATAAATATTATTATTTTTTATTATTATAAAGATGAATATAATCTCAAATCGAAGATCATGAAAAGATGATTAATTTGATATATTATATATGTAAAACCAATAAGAAATACAAAAGTTATCAACTTTAAAATATACTAGTGCGTGGCCCGTGCGATGCACAGAAAAATAATACTCCCTCCTATTTTTTTTAAATGTCATTCTAGCTTTATCAACTATTTGCTAAATAAATGTCATTTTGGATCTTTTGTACATATTTTTCCATTATTACCCTCATTTAGCTAATAAATACATCACGTCTTTTCATAATCACTCTTTATTTTTTTCTCAAAACATTCATCTCTATCTTCATTAAATAAGGTTATTATTGACAAAAAAAATATTTTTAATACATGTGCAACATCCCAAAACGACATCTATTTAAAATAGGAGGTAGTATTATGATTATGTTATAAATTAGATATATAAATAACATTAATCAAAATCCATTATTTTTAAATTAAACCGTGTTTGGTCACAGTCCGGCCGGGTGGACCGAGAACTGGTTTATAACCAGTCTAGTTCGCTTGAATAAAATATTTGTTATCGAATCCGTCAACACCAGTTGGTTGAACCGGTATGATCGATACGATTTTCTAAATAAATTTTGCTACATTTAAAATCATTTTAAATAAAATTACATATTTAAATAAAATAGAGATTTAGAAATTGTTTATCAATTATTTAAACAATTGAAATTTTAAATTATTTATATATTTAAGTAGCACATTTATTTGAATTTATTACAAAAAGTACTACATATGTGTGTGAGTGAGTGTGTGTGTGTGTATATATATATATACATATATATATATATATATATATATATATATATATATATATATTAAAATATTTATAAATTAAAAATATGAAAAATCACAAATGATTTAATAAAATAACTTGATCGTTTCAATGATGTTCTGATTCTGAAAACCTTATGTTTACTGTACATTAATAAAAAATTATAATAAAATATTATTTTATTCAATAAATATAAATAAAATGATATAAATATTTATAAATTATTAAACATGATTTCATAAAGTATTGTTAATACTATTATTTGAAGTTTGAATTACATCACATTCACGTAATAAAGTATTTTCAATATTAAATTTAAATTTAGGTTCAATAATTAATTTGGTCTGGTCAAACTAATACATAAATTTGTCACATAGGACCAACCAAGTTGTGTGAACCTTTTTTTACTATTTTAAATACTACCTACAAGTAATTTAATCAACCTAGGCAGTACCCTAATTCAATCACCCGATTGATCTAAAGAAATTTTCTTATTTTCTTTAAAATATTTAATTTTATGAAATAAAAATATTTTTATGGTTTTTATGGTTCATATAATAAATGTTTGCACCAAATGATAGTATATTAAGATTATAAATTATATATCTAAAGACGAATTAATTAATTTTACTTTATGCATATTAATAAAAAATACACATAGTAATTTTCAAAAAATTAAGATTAATATAATTAATTAATAATTTAAATAATATTTTAAGCATTCAATAATTTTTTGAAAGGCACAAATATAGAGATCGATATTCTAAAACTTTTGTTATATTTTAAATTGAGATTTTATAAACATGGGGACCGAGATTTTAACGTTGTTCATTGGTTCTAAGAAAAAAAATAAAAATGAAAACATGACAATTAATAGATCTTAGCCTGATTTTTTAAATAATAAAATGAACTAAAATCAAAATTTAAGGTGACATTTAATGATGTATGATTTTTAAAGAAAAAAAAAGTAAGAAAAATAATAAAACTTGCTGTTTATGGGTTGCATGAAATTCTAACCTATTTTTTCTAATATTTTTGGTAAATAAATTGTCTCTTTATATATATATATATATATATATATATGTTTACTAAAAATATTGGTAAATTTAGTTAATAAATAGAAAAAATAATCCTCAAATTTAAGGAACTATCATTTTTGAAAAGGTTGATCAATCATAAGGAAAGATCAATATTTTTATTAAAAAAACTAAAACGAATTTACTTAACAAATAGTAAAAAAAATAAAATTCAACTATTGAAAAGATTGAACGATTTTTCAATTGATGGAAAAAGAATCAAAATAATATGAGTTGGATAAAACATAAATGGTGAATGGATTTTGGAATGAATTTGATTGGTGTAACCCATTAAAATCTCAAATTTTAAAACCAATCTGACACGTTTTTTTGTAACATATTACTAAATAATTTGGATAAGACTTTAAATTAATTATTAATAATTTTTTTTTTAAAAAAAAATTGTAAAATAGAATGTAATAAATGCTTTCCTAAATTTTTTATGTCAATTCCATTATTATAATTCTTTAAAAGATTTATAATAAATAAAAAAAAAATAGATTTACTAATGATTTGTCCGTCACTTATTAAAGATCCCTAATTTATAGGGATTCATGTATGGAAAACACTTCTTTCCTAAATAATTTGGATAAGATTCAAATTAATTCCTAAATAATTTTTTTTTAAAAAAAAAATTTAAAATAGTATGTAATAAATGTTTTCCTAAACTTTTGGATTACTATTTTTAGTAAATAGTAATTCTTTATATATATATATATATAGATTTATAATTCAATAGCTAATTGGAGAAAACAAATCAAACGTCAGGATATATTAGTCATGTAGTGTCTCACTATGTATAATTATAAAGAATTAAAGGGTTATATTTGTACAAGTGATATTAAAATACCTAAGTTAGCTAAATAATATTTATGAAATATCCGAACCTAGATTATTACTTATTAATATATCAATATTATTTGTCCAAACTTAATTATGAAGAATGATTCTTCGCTAAGTAAGATTACGAAACATCAGAAACAGTCACGTAGGCTGGTCGCATTCCGGAATTATATATATAAGGGGATTCTCATTGCCAAAAATGAAATAATGCTTCAAATCGCAAACTATTAGGATAGAAAGCGGTGTTTACAGTGGGACTGTGGGAGAGAGCGTTCCTTCCCTCAGCCTATCCCTTCTTCTTTCCCTCTTTCAATATTTCGGCCAGCTTTCTTTTTTCAAACGCCAATCTTGTCTGTAATCCATTTGCTACATACAACTGATGACATTATTGGTTTTGAATGTAAACCAAGAACTCCTCAGCTTGACATTTATCAAGCTTTAGAAGGAAAAAAAAGTTATGTATTCCACCACACCTTTGAGAACTGTTAAGCCCTTGATTGATTTTCCTACTGTGTTTCCAAATCAAAGAACTCGAAAGAATTCGCGTTTTTCCCCAATACCCAGCAAAACACTGCGATGTAATAGCTACAAGCGTGTCCTTTCGACGAGAGCCTGCACAAATTCACAGCCCTCGGTGGATTCCGGTGACGGGAATGAGGATTTCGTGACAAGGGTTTTGAGGGGAACCCCGAGCCTGATCGAGCCCAAGTATTTGGTTGGGGATAAATTGTACTCGTCGACGGAGAAGGAGAGTTTGAGTAGAAAGGGTTCTCTGGATGTTAAGGTATCTGAGATACTGAACAGATTGGATGTGGAGGCATTGGTGAGCAAAGGCGACAATGTGAGGAATTTTGTGAAGCCTGAGGGGGAGGTTTATCTGAAGGATCTTTTGAGGCAGTACAAAGGTAAGCTTTATGTACCCGAGCAAATTTTTGGGCCTAATTTGTCGGAAGAAGAGGAGTTCGAGAGGAACGTGGATGAGTTGCCGAGAATGAGCTACGAGGATTTTCAGAAGTACATGACGATTGACAAGATAAAGTTGCTGACTTTTAAGGAGGATACCGGTTATTCATTCGATACAGATTGGTATAGGGATTTTGTTGTGGATTTGTATGAAATACCTGGAGAAAAGAGGTTGCACAGAACTAAATGGTGCGTGTGCTTTGCATATTCTTGAAATGTTGTTGATATTTTTTTTTTGTTATCTGTGTCCCATATCATGACCTGCTACGTGTTTTAATTTTTCATGAATTTTGGTTATAGGGCAATGAGATTGGATGAAGCGCAAGTTCGAGATCTTTTGGAGAGATACAAGGGACCCCGTAATGAAATAGAAAAGGAAATGATGGTACTGAATTTCTTAATGGGAACATGTTTTTACGGTGAATTAACCCGCTCTCATTTGACACAATATACAGTAGAAACATATGAGTGTTGCAGGGTGTTGATATGGGAAATGGAAAAATTGCTAGAAAGTTGCCATGAAACTGTGCTATAAAATAATAATAGTTAGGTCAATTGTAATATTGCATCCTTAGGGATAAATATTGTAGCTGTGTTGCTCAGTTATTATGCTAATTGTCGATTTACCAAGACTTCTGTTATGATTTAACCACTTTTGAGAGTTTTACTTTGTAAAGGATGCATTCTATTATAATGCTAAAGCAACATGCTTGGGTACATTAGAAAGTTGTTTCTACCGATGATTAGAGCACAGTTTAGTTATGCATTTTAGTTCTATGCTTGTGATGTCGATTGGTTCCGACCTTGCTGTCCGAAACAAAGTATCATGTTTCATTTCTTGTGTTCAGATGCTTTCATTATTGTTATGAAATGTCAGCAAAGAAATAAAACATTGAAAATTTTCTCTTAAACTCTCTAACCATCTTATGGCATTGATAAACTATTAACAAAGCCTCCTCACCTAACTTGGCTGTCTAGGCCAATTTCTCTGAGTTTGTAAATGGCGGACAAAATGTCAAAGCCGGTAATATATTTTAGGGGGGCAAAAGTTAGTTACAAAATTCGCTAGATAGCACGGGGTTATTTAGAGCCTAATGCCTATTCTTTAATGAAATGGCATCTTTGTACACCTATGACTGCCTGAGCCTTTTTTTTTTTTTTTTTTTTTNNNNGGTTGAGTTTTACAATACAAAATAATGCAATTCAACAAAAAATGTGTAAGTAAATATTTATCATAAAATTAAAATAAGTTACGATTATTTACAAAGAGAAGTCATTATCTGAAGCTGCTGGATATGACTTCATTGTTAATTTTCTGAAGATCTTTTCTTAATGTATGAAAATATAAGAGCATTAAGTTAAGCACCTCTCATTCCGTCGCACATAATATCTTCATTGTAATAGGCTATTAATATAAACTTTTTATATATTGGGAGGGGGGAAAAATTGTAAAGGAATTACAAGGTAGAACTACTTTTTTATTTTTTTGCGGACCGGACAGAATAATTGCATTGTCACCCACAATTTGATTTAGTCGGACTTTGTTTGCGTGGGGTTCTATTTTTCTTTTTGTCCCTTTGGTGTGTGCCTATATGCTTTGTCAACAGTCTCACTTTTTCTTCTTTTCTGCAGTCCTTTGTCGGAAAAACAACAGAATATACTCATCCTGTTGCATCGAAGATATCGAGCAGGATGATGGTCGAGCTTGGGGTGTTAACATCTACAACGGCAGCAGCAGCAGTTCTTGTTGGAGGATTTTTGTCTTCTGCAGTATTTGCTGCCACCAGCTCTGTCTTTGTTGTGACTATCTATGGTGTATATTTTGTGGTCATGCCATTTGTCAAACTTAGTCTGGGTCTCTCTCTCGGAATTCTGGATAGAATCTGGGAAACTATTGTTGATTTCTTCGGCGCTGGAGGTTATACGGCCACATTGTATGAAGTCTATGCTATCGGTGGGTTTTCTGCCAGTTTTGAAAAACTGAGACCCATCTTGATGATCTTGTTGTTGATGGTGCTGGTTATTCGGTTAACACTTAGTAAAAAGCCTAGGAATTTCAGAACAATGGTGCGCACCAATTCTGCATGCCCTCTTCATAGTCATGTAGTTGAAGTTCATGATTAGTGTTCTCACTGCTTTTGCGTCATGCAGGATATGTGGCAAGGCCTTCAATTTTCTCAGTCGAAGCCTCAAGCACGAGTTGATGTTAGTTCTACTTTCTGTTTTGTGTGTAATGTTCTCTTTTGGTTTTGTAATATTATCCTGTGTTGGGCTTTGTAATGTATGAACTGATAAACTTTCTTCAGGGCTCCACTGGGGTTTCCTTTAGTGACGTGGCGGGGATTGATGATGCGGTGGAAGAGCTCAAAGAGGTGGGACAGAAAACAAATAAAAAATAGAACTACTGTTATCTGTTAAAAAATTGAATTATAGGCAAATTGAACAATTTATCTGTATTAATAACCTGAACTCCAAGTTTATAGTCGACCTGTTAGCCGATATTCAGGCCGCTGAAGGGTAATATGTATCTGTTTCATCCTGAATGTCCCGAATTTCCAGTTCGATTATTGTTTATTGTTTATTTTTATCTATTTAGCTGGTGAGGTACCTGAAGGATCCTCAGCTATTTGATAAAATGGGCATAAAGCCTCCTCATGGAGTTCTTCTGGAGGGCCCTCCTGGATGTGGCAAGGTTTATATATGTTCTCTCTTCACAGTCATATGAATTATTTAAATTCCCTATGATGATAGCCAAATATTATGTTGCCAGACCCTGGTTGCAAAAGCCATAGCTGGTGAAGCTGGAGTTCCATTTTATGAAATGGCTGGATCAGAATTTGTTGAAGTGCTAGTTGGTGTAGGCTCGGCTCGTATCAGGGATTTGTTCAATCGGGCAAAGGTACCTGGCTGTGGTTCTCACTTCCAACTGATTGTCTACACAAACTCATGAAGAAAAAGGAAGACAAAAATAAATTATAAAAATGATTTTGATTGTCATTCATTAGTTCTGCACTTCTGCTCAATTACATTGAAATGGGTCACTGTGGAATAGTTAGGCTTTAAGCGTTTTTCGAGAACAACTAAATATGTGAGCAGCTCAGCCTAACTCAACCTTAGGTCTACCATCTTCAAAAGAGTTAGTGATCCCTCTATTTTTATATGTTACTCTAGTTAGTTTGTATAACATTAAGTATGATGGGCCTCACTGTTTTAGTTTTTCCGTCCTGAATTGACAACTTGCACTTTCTTGGTTGTACGCGTGGACAATTATAGAATTTGTTATTTTGCGGGAAGCAGCAACTTTTGAATATGTGTATAAATACTTTTGGCCTAATTTTAAGAGATCCAAATCGAGTTTCATTGCAAAGTGAAATATTGGATTCTAATAAAACTGTTAATTTTCTTTGTTTTCTGTAATACTTTGTGGTATATGATATTGACATATACAACATTATTTTCCGAATCACCGATAGATCTTATGTGTAACATAGTTACATTGGTATGTATATAAAGTATTTGAATATTTTATGCTTCACATGGCACCTGGTTAATCCCCCTGATTTTTGTTTGGTCTACCAACACAAGAGTTGTTTACAGCTTCCTACTCATAGATTTTTCAGTCATGTTTTACATGACAAGATTAATAGATTTGAAGGTCTCTCAAACTGCATGGGAAGAAAAAAAGGAACTACTATATGCAGTCTTTACTGTTTGCTGAAATGACTCTTCTATGTTTACAAGGACTCACTTTTGAACTTGTTTGGTGGTAAAGATATAAGGTCAATATTAATTTTTCGTATGCTCTTGTACAGGTAAATAAACCATCAGTCATTTTTATTGATGAAATTGATGCTCTGGGAACAAGGTATGCTTGAACCTTTTACCATGTTTTTTTCCTGCTCAGACTGAGTTTGAAAGAGCTACTGCAACAAAAATGTATTTGTTTACCAAGATAGAACTTCCTGACTGCATTTTTTCTATTTTCACAAGCCTAATAATATACACAAGGCACACTAAGTATACTAGAGTGATCATCAGTTTTTGTTGTCAGGATGATTTTTTATTTTTATTTTAAACCAGCACTGTCATTTATACATATCATGTAGTTAATTGATGATTCTGATTCTTGTCGATATATACATCAGTCGGCAGGGAATGACCAGTAAGGCAGACAAGTACCATTATGATTCAAAAACTCAAGAAAGGGAGACTACGTTGAACCAGCTCTTAATAGAACTAGACGGGTTTGATACGGGCAAAGGTGTCATATTTTTGGGAGCCACAAACAGAAAGGATTTGCTCGATCCTGCCCTCCTTCGGCCTGGTCGGTTTGACCGCAAGGTGTGTTCCCCTGAACTGAGTACTGTTTTTCTAAAGTTTGATCCCCCTGCGCGATTTACTCGTAAATTCTTTTCAGAACAACATGGTTTTAGTCATCATTCTTGTCACTATCTAGATAAAGATCCGTCCTCCAAATGCAAAAGGGAGACTGGAGATTCTGAAAGTTCATGCACGGAAAGTGAAATTATCAGACACCGTTGATTTGTCTATTAATGCGAACAACTTGCCAGGTATACTAAGTTTTTTCATCAATTCTCGGAAATTTAAAGGGGTTAGTTGAAAATCTGGAATTGTTTGGGTGGCAAAATGCTATTTCCAAAATTTTAAATTACTAAATATGATGATGCTATGGGTTTGGAGTTGATCAGGATGGACGGGTGCAAAGCTGGCTCAACTTATCCAAGAGGCAGCTCTTGTGGCAGTGAGGAGAGGTCATAGTGCTATCCTACAGTCGGACATGGATGATGCTGTTGTCCGTCTTACGGTGGGCCCCAAGCTTGTGGGGCTTAACCTTGGTCATCAGGGTCAATATCGGAGGGCTACTACTCTAGTGGGAACTGCTTTGACTTCTCATCTGCTGATACGTGTCGAGGGTGCCAATGTCGAGCGCTGTGATCGTGTATCAATTCATCCTCGTGGACAGGTATTATTATTATTATTATTATTATTATTATTATTATTATTATTATTATTATTATTTTTATTATTTTTATTATTATTATTATTATTATTATTATTATTTATCATGCAGACACTATCGCAACTCGTATATCACCGACTAGATGAAGAGTCGCGCATATTCGAGCGCCTGCCTCAGTTATTGCACCGTCTTCAGGTAATATTTTATTTCAACCAACTTTTTGTAATTATTTCTCCCTTTTATAACTTGATTCGCGTGATTTCGATTGTTCTTGTCCTATCTTAGGTATTTCTTGGAGGCAGAGCTGCTGAGGAAGTCATTTTCGGGCGCGACACTTCGGAAGCATCCGTCACTTACCTTGCTGATGCATCATGGCTTGCCCGAAAGATTATCACTGTGTAGGCTTTCTATTGCTATGGAATATTATTATTATTATTATTATTATTATTATTATTCTTATTATTATTATTATTATTATTATTATTAATTATTATTATTGTGGCAGATGGAATTTGGAGAACCCGATGGTAGTGCACGGTGAACGCCCTCCATGGAGAAAGATGGTCAGATTTTTGGGTCCTAAAATGGACTTTGAGGGTTCTCTTTACTCGAGCCATGGCCTGTGTGAACCTCCCCTCAACTTCAAATTGGACGATGTCATTGCAAGGAGGACGGAAGAACTCATGCACGATATGTACAGCAAAACGGTTAATCTGCTTAGACAGCATAATGCTGCTTTGCTCAAGACTATAAAGGTATGGTGTCACTTCTCTTTTTCATACCAAATCACCTTCTCTTTACATTATGTTGGTTAGAAGTTTGATTACCAGATTTTTTTCTGAACAAAGGGTTAGGCCTGATTATAAAAGGGCATCCTTGTGGTTGATCTACTTAAAAAGTGAAAAGCTAACAATGTAACTAGAAAAACATCCTCACTATTATTATTATTATTATTATCATTATTATTATTTTTTTTTATTTTTATTTTTTTTTTTAAAAAAAAACAGCTTCTCTTGTAATTAGACTATATAATGGAGGTAGTTTTTTCTTCTAGACCATGAGAACACGAACTGAATGTCTTGTACTGTACGTCAGGTTATTCTTGACCGGAAAGAGATTAGTGGGCACGAAATTGATTATATCCTCGATAAGTATCCTCCACAAACTCCCACAAGCACCGTTTTGGAGGAAAGAAATCCGGCCAGCCTTCCAATCTTCGAACAGGAACAACAAACTCAGAGTAATGAATTGGATTATGCCCTTTTGACTTCATGATAGTCGCATCCGGAATCAGAAAGATAGATAGCACTTTTCGAAGATTATTGGGATTGAACTTTGAATGCATTGGATAAGCTCATGAATGCATGTTGGGAGGTGGTTTTTGCAGACATGCATTTGGGAAAAAGGGTCTCTGGTTTGTTTCGACTTTAGTTCTTCCTATACACGAAGTTCTACCTATTTTAGTACCTGAGGTTTTCAATTAGATTAGAGCTTTTGAGGGACAAAAAAAATTGAAAAATAATGTTTTCTTGCCAAAATTATGAGTTTAACGTCATAATATATGATATTCTATAGTTGTTCACATGTATTTTCAACTTCCAGAATCGAACAAAACTAATATCTATATCTATATGTCTTATATATATAATGGATCAATTTGTTTTACTATATTTGTCACACATTTTTTCCTCTAAAAATTTCGATCTAATTTGGCAGTGACTATTAGACATTAATTTATGGGTTAATTGCATTTAAAATTCTAACTTTTTGTTTATTTGCGAATAAAATTTAACTTTTTCAATTTGACAAAAAAATACCAAACTTTTAATATTGAGTCTCAAAATCAGTTTTTGGCCAAGACACGTCGGAAAACGAGCTCGGGGTGGATGTGCATAGAGGGGAAGCCTAGTGAAGGAGGTCGCTGGAAGTCGAGCTTGCGGCTGGGGAAGCTCGCCGGAGAGAGAACGTCGTGGAGGACGGCGTCGGGGAGAGAACGTCGTGGGGGTTGGTCGAAAATTTGCGAAGAAGATGACCGGAAAAGTCCTTGCCGGAAAAAGTCACTGGTTCTGGCGAAGGTGGACGTCACTAGATGCGTCTTTGTGAGAGGATTTCAATGTTACCTTCGGATTCACATGGGTCAATGCGAGTCACCGGGAATTTGTGAAAGAACGCTGGAGAAAATTTGTAGATCTACGAGTTTTGACCGGAAAATTGGAAGCCTTATTGTCGGAATTTTTTCGTGAACTCGGATATGTTGTCGGCACGGAGGAGGGCTACAAGATCATGCAAAAATTTTTAACATCCGGCGAACTTGGCCGCGGCGAGTGGCGGTTGGCGGCAGTCCTGCGGCGGCGAAAGGCGATTAGCGGCCAAAAATTGATTTTTTGAGACATAATTACAATACTTATTAAAAGTTTGGTATTTTTTTGCCAAATTAAAAAAATTGAGTTTTATTTGCAATTGAGCAAAATGTTATGATTTTAGATGCAATTAACCCTTAATTTATTGAATAAAATGTAAATTGGTTAGTTCATTAAAGAATTTGAGAAATTATTGTTTGAATCAAAATTTGGTCTCAAAATCTTTATTAATTATTTTAATAAATTTTCAGAAATAATAAATGTATTAATACCAATTTTGTTTTGATGGTTGGCTGAATGTATATGTATATATGTGTGTAGCTTTCTCGTAAAATATATGCACACACATATTACGCGTTAGACAAACACACATACAGACACACGCACACACATAGATATTTTAAAATTTATTTCATTTGTGAGAAAAATAAAATGCAAACTATGTAACTCAACAAACACACGCACACACATAGATATTTTAAAATTTATTTCATTTGTGAGAAAAATAAAATGCAAACTATGTAACTCAACAAAATTGAATAAATAAAAATTATACTCAAGTATCATAGTGACATTTGGTAAACATTAAAATGATACCTATGTTAATAAAAAACTATATCAATATAATGATTAATTTATATTACCATAATTGACTTAGTTTTGGAGAAAAATCGTCTTTATTTAGCATATATTTAAGTTTTATTTATAAGAATTTTTATTTACTTATTTAGTAATTATTATTTTTATTAATATTATTATTATTATTATTATTATTATTATTATTATTTTGTTTTACTTAATGGCTAATATTTGTTAATTATAAATTGACCTACATAGAGTTATTGATTGATTATATGTATTTTAAATAAGATCATAATATCAATCTCATAGTAATTTTGTTGACACAATTAAAAAAGTATTCATTGTAAGTATAAAAATTAATTTGATTAATTATATTGTCATCTCATGGTGTGTGTGTGTGTTGTGTGCGTGTGCATGCGTGTAGCTTTCTCGTAAAATATAATACACACTATTTTTATTTTTCGAAAACATGCAACATATACGAGTAATTACTGAGTTGTCCATATTACATGTAGACACAAATTTTTTATTCAAAACTTGGTACATGATAATTTTTAATTTGTCCTATTAATGTGCCTCATACGTTCACATATTTTGATTTTGATTAATCTATATAATCTTTTAGCATTTAGTGATATTACATAATATAATCCGTGTAGAGAATCTTTTAAGTGAAAATTACGATAAAAAAGAATAAAATATGTTTTTCAAAAAAATCTCAAAACTGTACAATATTTATTAATATATTACCTAACTAATTTTTAAAACAGATATAGAAAATAACTTAAAAAAAAAAAACTTAACATTTGAAATTAATTTAAGTTTACTAAGAAGTGATTAACAAAATTGAATAAAACCTCATTAATACATTTTTTTACATTAATTTAATCTAATTGATAAAATAAAGAAATGGTATCTTTAACATTTAAGACAATTAATAAATAGAAAAATGAATGAGAAATTTAAATTAGAAAATACTTTTAAATTTGTTATGATCTAAAAAAATAATAAAACATACATACTAATACTAATAATTTGTATGTATACTTTGAAAGGATACATACAAAATCACCTTAAAATCTGTATTAAGGTTATTCAACTGCTTAATATGGTCGTCTTGTTCAACATTTAATTCTGAAAAATATCTTAATATATTTATTCAATCCAATATTTAATTTTAAAAAATAACATTTTAATATTTTAACTTTCACGTAGATCGCACGAGATATGTTTTAGTTAAATATAATATATTTGTGTGAGTAAGGAGTCTAGAGAAAAAAAAAAATAAAAAAAATTGCATAATGTTGTGAAATATTTATAAAATAATATATGTGAATGACTATTTTGCCCTCGATGTTATTGTATTATTACAATTGTGCCATCAGAAGTTT